TTAAAAATCAATAATATTTAAGATAAAATATTTTAATAAATAATAATTAAAATTAATTTATTAAGTATATAATATGTTCGATATTTGTATGTCAAAGTACATGTTATAAGTTATAACCAATTTTATTTCTGAAAAAAATACGATCGAGTTACAGTTTATATAATATATTATTGAGTTCTAATATTTAATATAATATCCTTTACAATGTACAATATGCTTACCGAATGACAATGCGAGGTACACAAAAAACCTAAATTATACATCAAAGTGACTTCCTTGGTAGGTATGATTCAATACTGACAATCATAATATTTTGGGCCTCTATTAATAAATTTATCYAATTTTAGATCTATATACCTTACTATTTTAAATGTGTTTTTTTGTTTAGTTGATGAATGAAGCTGAATAACTCTATTATACTGGTTATACTGAATRATTATATTTAAATTTGCACGACCGTTGCATAGAGGTTAAAAATATGAACTAAAACTTTTAACTAATTTTTATTTYATTTTTACTACAGCAATAGATTTCCATTTTGCATTGGCTTGAATGAAACATTTTTTTTAGCTTTTGTATACCGATGTTCATTATATGAGATAATAAAAATAAAAATATAACTAATTGTAATATTGATAAGCATTAACGAGAATCATTTTAATATAAATTAAATAGTCTAAATACACTGTATGTCAAAATATTTTTATTTTTATTATAAATGTACAATTATTATATATTTTAGGATAGTAAAAATAATATCATGTTTTAAATATGTATATATTATCAGTATGRACTTCWTGTACTCGTATATATGTTCCGATTAGGTTCCAAATTTGTATTTTAAAGTTAGAAGAGTCTTATAGTTTACTTACAAGCTGGAATAAAAGATAATAGAAATGATTTTGTAAAAAACATGAAAATTTAAAATCACATTTTAATTTATTGTAAATGTATAACAATAAGTTAATTAAATACTCCAACAATCTATAATTTTYATAACYTACTGGATATAATGTTAAACATTTTTATTTTTCTGGCTACGTAATAATTTAATACATATACTTTATTGTTTGACAATTGATATAGTCCAGTGCAAATTATATAATACGTATRTATATGAAAGTCAGTTTCAWATTTTAAATYATTTAARTTATAATTGCAATAAATAAYTAKATTGATAATTTAAAATCAGTATTTATATTATCTACAAGTATTTAGTGCCCAACGTAAAAACCACATAAACTTATCTKATTAATTATTATTATTAGTTTTACTCTTATTATTCGTCTAATCAGCGTYAGAATTGGTTGAATGMGTACGTGACTTTTACTTGATGAAAACCAAAAATAACSTACAATGCTATTATAATCAAAATACAATTGTTATAATTATGTACTATATAAYCAAATAATAAGATTGCGTTACTTTGAGTATTTTTTTTAAGTGCAGGCATTCAGCAATAAAAGCTATAAGATTTTTTAAATCTTTCCCGATTAAAAATGCACAGGTTTCCTTCTAAAAAAATAACATAAATATATAACCTGCGTTCCACATGATATTATATCCACCATACTAATTTGTTTTAAATATTTTGTACATGATAAATAAATGGTGTTTTAACTGTTTTATTTCTCATACAGCTTAAAATATAACACAACCTATTTATATAAATCTCGTATACATTTTTAATACTAAAAATATCATAAATTTAGTATGCCCATATTTCAAGTCTATCATCGATTACCAATTATATAATAATAAATCAATATGTGTTTACTAAATAAATTGTGTTGTTATACGATTCTCATTAATGTGTAGGTACCTACTACTTACCTATAGTATGTTTCGTATTTTTATAATATATTCACATTTCTTGAGAACATCTATCCTACAGAATACATAATATTATAAATATGTATCTAATATCTATTGTTACATTTGGTTTATATAAGGTTCTGTTAAAACCACAATAATGTCATGTTTTATTGAAATTGTGTACTACAATAATAAGTCTTGAAAAACTGTAATATTGAATTATATAGAATCTATATATAT